CTGCAGCGGCGCTGAACTCCGGCTCATCTTCCAAGTACATGTCTGCCCTCCTCGCAGCATCTTCCTGCTCTCCTTCTGTGGCTTCTCTGCATAAGCGTCTCACCATTTCTCACTCAACCTTCATGCGGTCCGAGACACGGCTTTCCCGACCATCCTACTATCCTGATTATCTACTCTCCAACCCAAGATTCTAAGCGTAAGGGCGCCTGCAACATCAATGGCCCTCTCCGACATGTCTCTGCCCCTACAGGTCTCCGCTTCTACACGGACGCTGCCCCTTCCGTGGGTTTTGGGGGATTCTTCCAGGACCTTGGTTTGCCGAGCGTGGCCGCTACTTCCACCGGAGCATCTCCTCTGCCTACACGAGATATTCCCAGTGGTCGTGGCCTGTGCGCTGTGGAATCACACGTGGCAGAGAAAGAGGTTCTCCGTCATGCGGATAATCTCGACGTAGTGGAAGCATTACACAAAGGTCGCTCTTTTTCACCCAACATAATGTCCCCTGACCCTTTCAACCTTCATCTCAAACATTCAAAGACCAAGGCGCCGCAACATAATAATAGCTCGCCCCTACAGGTCCATGAGGCGTACACTCACCCCCGCTGCAAAAAGGAGATTTCAACGGACCCCTAATTCTCACTCCAGACAACCTTTCCATGACAGCAACCTGGTTCAGAGCTCAACTAAGATCCCTACTGCTCCTCTGCAATTTGTCTCCCCAGCTCTATAAAGCCCACTCCTTCAGGATAGGCGCTGCCACGCGCGCGGCCTCGCTGGGGCTCCCCCACATCTCTCCAACAGCTGGGGTGCTGGTCCTCTTCGGCTTCTCCGCCTACATCAGCCCAGACGCGTCCGCCATCCTGGCTGCACAACGCCTACTGGCTTCCTCGCAAGCTCCCAGCAAAGCAATACGAAGCAAAGTAAGTGAAGCAATAAGATTCTGGTGGCGGCACGCACTTCTCAAACACTCTCCGCTGCCGCAGCGTCTGACGGAACGTGATGCAAACGCTCACGTTCCCAGCGCGCAAAAAAAAAAAAATAATAACCCACGAGGCATTACACTCGCCTCCGCTCTCGGAAAGGAGATCTCAACGGACCGTTATTTCTCACCCCCGATCACCTCCCAATGTCATCCAACGGGTTCAGAGCCCAACTAAAGTCCGTACTGCTGCTTTGTAACCCGTCTCCCCATCTCTACGCAGCTCACTCCTTCCGGATAGGCGCCGCAGCAGCCGAGTATCCGCAAGTATTGATCACAGTAGATAGCGGTCACAGCATATAGCGATAGCGGTCACAGCATATAGCGATAGCGGTCACAGCATATAGCGATAGCGGTCACAGCATATAGCGATAGCGGTCACAGCATATAGCGATAGCGGTCACAGCATATAGCAAAAAATGGTTAGCAGCATTGCGCTGGCGGTCACAGCATAGCGATAGCGGTCACAGCATATAGCGATAGCGGTCACAGCATATAGCGATAGCGGTCACAGCATATAGCGATAGCGGTCACAGCATATAGCGATAGCGGTCACAGCATATAGCGATAGCGGTCACAGCATAGCGATAGCGGTCACAGCTTAGCGATAGCGGTCACAGAATAGAGTAGTCACGACGTCTGTCCCCTCCAAACCAGGCTTCGAAAACTCCATCAACACGCAGCCTTTTTGGGGATTGTGCGCGCTCATCGCAGGAGCCTTTCCGATCCGAAGGCCGCACCGGGACCTAGGGCGCCAAACCTCCTTTCATAAAATACTCAACTCCCTGTTTCTCGTCTCTCCAAATTGAAATGCAGCCCGCGAAAATTCAATTTGGTAGACGTTAACCAAAATTACCCCCTCCAGGCCGGCTGTCATCCCCAGCCTATCGCTCAGCAGACGCCCCCTTCCAATCATCTGTACCGACTCGCAGCCGCATAAAAACGGAGCAACTCCCACTACCGGCCTCCTGAAGCCTCGCAACCACCGCCTCCCCTCCTCCTCCTCTTCACCCTGCCTCCAATCTGCCTTCAATTTTCTTCCCGCTGCCAAATGCCGCCACCAGTGCCTAGGTCCCGGGGGATTGTGCGCGCTCATCGCAGGAGCCTTTCCGATCCGAAGGCCGCACCGGGACCTAGGGCGCCAAACCTCCTTTCATAAAATACTCAACTCCCTGTTTCTCGTCTCTCCAAATTGAATTGTAGTGAGTGTTGGACCATATTGTCCATGTTTGAAATAAATAAATAATTGCACTCACAAACTTTGATTTTATCATGCACAACCATTATTCCACTTTGACAGAAACATTAGTGGATCCTGCTGAGCCTGCAGTGAAATGGGCCCTTGGAACACGCTTTGCTTTTTTCCCCCTGAAAACTAGAGCAGACCTATTTGAGTTGTTCCTTGCTAATGAGAGTCTAAGGACAATAACGATCTGGTACATTTATGAACAGTGGTCATCCTACTCATTATGGATGAATGGCTTCTATGTGTTTGTTATCGCATTTCCTGTGTTCAAACTGTTTGGCTCTATGATTTGTTGTTTGCAAATCGTCATGTGTACTGTTGTGATCCAGGGCTGGACACGATGTAATTGAATTAAATTTGACTAAGACTGCTCAAGACCTATGACAACGCAAAACTTCAATAAATCTAATGACTGCAGAAGTTTAGTATATGCTCATGAGATATTCTACTTGGACAGAGACAGTAGATTAAATAAATGACAGGGCCATTCTTCCTCTCTCGACGCTCTAAGCATTATAGTAAGTAAGTAAGTAATCTTTATTTATATACCGCCTCTCACAGACCAGAGTCACAAAGTGGTTTCCAATTGTTACTATTTTTGGGCACTTGTCCTCTCAGTCAACACAGAGATGGGAGTGGGGTCGCCGAACAGGAGGCGCATGCCAGACCTATTGTACATATTTTTAGTGGTGGGGAAACCGGAGCACCCGGAGGACATGCAAACTCCACTCAGAAAGGCCCAGGACCTTCTTGCTGAGAGGCGAGAGTGCTATCCACACAGCCACCGTGCCGCCCACTGTATAGTATACTCTTGTGAACTTTGACTAAGAGTACAGCCCGAAACCTTTCCTCATACATTCTTTTATAATCCTGTAATACTTTTGTATTAGTACTAAGTCAAAACAGCATGTACTGTCATGTCAGTGAAGCAGACGTCCAAACATACTAGTCTTGTGTACTTCAGTAAAATCATCTGAAGTAGTAAAGTACAATTGTCTATGCATTTTGATATGTGAAATGCATTTTGTCAAAGAATTGAGAGGGTGATTTCTATTTCACAATTTTGCGAATAGTCTGTGAAAGACTAAAACCTCTGTGACGCGGCTGTATAAGTGTTTCCTGGCACAGAATACAACCCATTATCAGTCCATGTGATATTGGACCAAATGTGAAGTAGATCGCAAGGAATTCAAAGTACTGAAATGTGGCTTTAAAAGGTAGGTTAAAAAACTTTTAAATAATACTTATGAAATATGAACATATATTTAAACCACAAAGTAACTCTGTAATAAAAAATCCCTTACTCAGCCTAAAGAGTCGACAAGTGACTCACAAGGCTCTTTCTTACGAGTATGCAAAAGATAACATTTTCTAATGAGATGAAGACAGCATGTCAGATTTCTTGATCAGACAAAAAGTAATGTGCCACGGCTTTAAATGAGAGAACAGGCCTACGTATGTTGCTTTAATGTGGCTTTTACAAAAAATTAAAACTGAAAACAAAAAATCATGTCCAAATTTGGTTAAATCAGCAAGAGAACCTTTTGAAGGTCTTAAAACAGGATTTGCCAATGAAACAAGCAATGTTTTCAAATCAATATAAAAATCTACTTCATTCATAGTAACACTCCATTATGTTGACTGTCTAAAGGAAGTAGCTCTCTGACACTTTAATTCCAAAAAAATAAGCTCTCCAAGGGAAAAGGTCGGAGACCCCTGCTTTAAAACAACACTACACTTTCAACCCCAAAATCGCCTCATTTTTACTTAACAGATGGCTACACAACATCTAAGCAGGTTTGTAGTGGTTAGTCATGCAAACCACTACAAACCTTGTTAGCCATGCTTCTAAGTAAATTCATCAATTGGAGTTAGCTCCAAATTTAGAGCCTTCAGCTTGCTTTCTACAGGTTTTGTTTATTGTCATACTCTGTCATTATAAAATATAATATACAAGGAAATTCTTAAAATGCCTTGAAAGAAATGTCTTTGTCAATGATTCAACAAAAATGCATTTTACAATTTCCTTTCTACATAAAGTTGATGTACCTAACTTTTTCCATAGATACAATAGTATATACAAAAGATATAATGTTTACTTAAAGCTAGGGTACCTGACTTTCAAACATAAATCCATGTAACTTATGGCTATAAAATAGTTTGCTTCCATCACTAGTTTTTAACGCATGTACTTTTTGGCCCTTGTTACATCTTTACATCAAAAAAGAGAATAGGTAGGACCATCCTCGCTCAGCCAATCAGCTTTCATAGTGTCACACAGGGCTTCTCTTGCAAGTACGCAAAATACAACATGTTTTCTAATAAGAAAAAAACAGAATATGGCGGTCTGATTTTATTCTTACATTTTACTTTTACATGACTCTTCCTGTCTTAAACAACATGCAGTATTTTGAAATAAAAAGTTCGGTCCCCCAGGTTTACTTCATCCCCTCCAAAGCAGTGTTTTTTCAACCAGTGGGCCGTGGAAGGTTAGTGTACCTTGAGATGTTGTTTGGCATGCATTTGGAAATCAACCAATATCATCTAAATCGTCAAAATAATGTCAAAATAAAATATTGTGAGTAGATTAGAAATATGTTTTTGCGCTTTGATTTTCCATATTACACTTTGATGAGAGATACTTTGATTTGTTAATAAATGCTGCAGAGTTTCATATTTGCATCAGTTTCAACTGTCATGTGACTGTTTATTCAATGAAAAACGTTTGGCTCAAAAACGTTGGGGAACACTGCACTGAGTATGGATCCTTCTGACCTGTGGGCATCGTGGCCTCCGTTGCGTTGGGCTGGGTCATGGCGATGCACACATCATCCTGCGGGAACTTGTCGCAGGTGAGCATCTCGGGCCAGGGAAAGCCGAAAGCCTCCATGATGGGGGTGCAGCCGTCTCTCACCGCTTCGCACAACCAGCGGCACGGATATATTGGTCTCTCCAGGCACACGGGTGCGAACAACGAGCAGAGGAAGACCTGTGTGCCGGGGTGACAGCTCTTATGCACTAGCGGCACCCAGCTACTGGCCTGCTGCTTCACCTCTGCCATGCTCTCGTGGTCCAGCAGGTTGGGCAGCAGCATCTGCGAGTACCCCACGGTGTGACACAGGCGCAGGTCGTCCGGGATGTCCACGCACTGGGGGGGCTTGCCGTAACCGCGACCCCCGTTATATGCGTCTGATCGCCAGCTTAGATATTCGTACTCGGACGCGACGCACGCACAAACCAACGCGAGCGACACGATGCTGCCGATCATGTTGCAAAGCTGAGCGAAACTTTAACTTCACGTATGAATAGATTCACCAGCAGAAGCTCCTGTCCTCTCCAGGGTCTCCGCTCAAAGTGGAGCCTGAAGCCGCCGCGCGTAAGGACACCAGCTTGTGAAGTACGCGCAACCAATAGGAGTCGTCTGCGCCTTTTGGCCCCAGTGCTGTCACTCAAGACGCTTTATTACCAGTGTGTAAAACTCTGCTGGGGCCCGCCTCCCCTCCTCCCCTCCTCCCCCTTCCCCTCCTCTCCTCTCCCCTATCTGCCCCCACTCGTACTTCCTTTGTCAAAACAAAACAATCAGCCAGTCAAAAGAGCGGCTTGAAGAGTTAATTTACAAAAACGGGTATCTCCGTTTTGAACATTTGTCAAAAAAATGTTTTCCTCTATATACAATCTTCAACATGGTTTGTTCTTAAGATAAGAGTTCCTTTATTCGTCCCACAGTGGGGAAATTTCTTGGCAATAATAATGAAAGGATAATTGGCTCAAGGAAAGATATACATATATTTGTTTGGCACTAAAATATAATGTATAAGGCTGTTCGAAAAACAACTTGATAAAGAGCAAATTGTAAACCTTTTCAATAGTTTTCTGAAAAATGCTGTCTTTGTCTTATCAGAAAACATGTCTTTTGCATACAAAAGAGTTGTGTGAGTCACTGTTTGACGCTGATTGGTGTTGTGAGGATGGTTCTCTCTTTTTCGTGTTTTTTTGGGACAAAATACATGCATGGGAAAATGATAGAACCAAACTTTTTTGAAAACAAGGAACTTTAATTGAATTGAATTCAATCCTGCATTTAACATGTTTGCACATTTCTTTCTTTTTGCAAAATCTTGAGTGTTTCTATCCATGCCAGATGTGACATGTACATTTCTCCTGTGTGAGATCAATAAAGTAAATCTTATCTTATCTTATTCTTGTATAGCCCTAAATCACAACAGTAGTTATCTAAGAGGACTGAACTAGACCGTTGAAATTGCCAACACAGATCAGAGAATCAAACAGTATTGGTCCATACGGGGAGTTGACCAAATGTGTTGATAAATGTCAAAAAATGTTGTAGAATGTAAGAGTGTCCCAGATCATCACCACTGTCCTTTTTGTTAGACCCTCGTCTAACAGACCGTCCTGCATCAACCCAGTTGGGAAAAAAAGTGAGAAACCTCAGATTAAGAGAGGGATTGCTCCCACGGACAGAGGGGGACTCAAGCTACAGAACAAGAACCAACGTCAGGCGGCGCAGGACTCAGGTTGAGGAACGAGGTGCGATGCAGCTGTCCTCGTTCGTGCATTATATTTTTTGTGGTTTGAAAAAAAGTACCCAAGCTTTAATACCGCCACTGAACCTATTTCAAATTATTTCTATTTGCTGTGTAAACAACTGAATAAATGTATTTTCACTATTTTCATGTACTGTAATTATTTATGATTTAAATGCCTTGTGTGATTTTAATGTTTCTTTTCGTGTGTTGTTTAGAACTTTTACAAAAAAAGTGGTTGAACTTCAACAATACTATTGCAACAACATATTATCAGTAGGGTAAAACTAACCTCAATGTAAAAAGTTAAATTTGTCTTCTTATGTTCATGATATGGCGGAATACTTCCTCCTTTGACGAAGGAGGAAGTATACTGCTGAAACATGTCGGGTTATCAAGCAGCACTAGCTTCTTCACATTATTTGTCTTATTAAAAGAACCTTCTAAGCCTAAAACTAACTTGTCTCGTGCATTAAATGTGCTATACAAATGAACATGCCTTGCTTCCAATAATAATAGCTTGTGTACTGACAGTGTAATCACTGCTTAATTAACAGCTAAGCACACGTTAAGAGACTTTGCCACTTCCATTAAACAATACACACTTTGGACTTAATTGCACTAACATTTGCAGAGGGATATTCTCACTGTCGGTGCATGCAAACACTCTGGAGGTGGTGCTGAGGGGCCCCCAAACACCCCCAGGAGCAGGGCCTGATGGATCCAGGTGTGAAGTGGCCTTTCAAACAACAGCCATCTGCATGTGAGTACACTCAATGGGGAAGCTCAAAACAAAGGGTAATTTGATTTGAACTGAAGCTGCAGCAGAGCCACGCCGCAGAGCCACACATGGATGTGTTTATCAAATCAATGAGCAGAGTGCAAATGCATATACTTTACATCACTACATTGTGACTCCAATCACTATCAAATATTCTACATGTTCTAAATAAACAGAAATAAAGCTTCAAGAAGTAAAGTGGGGGATGCCAAATAATAAAACAAAATAAAATCTTCATGTTTGTGGTCTGTTATGTGTCTTGCTCATAGAGCCTAGTGCTAAATGCATTGTGAGTGCATTTTATGAAAAGTTGTATACTGTTTGGGATTTGTGCCAGCACCAGGACTTCACACATGTCCAATCCAGACATGTTCCACGTCCGGCTCATAGTAGCTCAGTATCATCCAGCAAACTTCAGCTCCATTACAAGCTACAGCACCTCAAAAAACCCATATGGAATCCAGGCGCTAACTTTTTTTTGACAATATCCACATTTGTTCATGGCACACAAATCATGAAACTGACGAGAACATGAATATTAGTCATTCAGCTGAACTTCAGCTCTTCAGATGTGTATCAACATGATGTCACCGCTGTTAAGGTTTTCAGATTCAACCCCCAAAGCTGAAGCAGAAGCATTGCTTTGGGGGTTGAATCTGACACTGAAGACGTTTAGGATGTTTATTTACTATTCGAGAATTGAGCAGGCAGGCTGACTTAGCTGGAGGCAGACCGACAATCAAGAGCTGACTGGAGATGCTCATCAGCACCAGAGTCCGATGTCATCAGCACCAGTCTGCTAAGCTTGTACACAAATGTGTTGTTAAAGGAAACAGTACCTTTAAGATGATCTGTGTGTTGCGAGCTCGGAAGCACTTAGCTAGAATCTCACTATATTTTCAATGAGAACTATACAAATAAATAATACCAGCAACGCCACCTTAGATTTTGGCCTAAGGAACCATTAAGAAGTTTATCCCCGCATACCTAGACCACAGGTTCGTTTGGATATGGAGAGAGATAGAGGCAAATCTAACAAAATATAAGTTTATTTAAATAGCTGACAAGTTTAATTGATTATTCTAATTAAAACACTCTACATTCACAACACACACACACCCCCATTCATTCTCAGTCACACTGCATGCATTCCAGAACAATACAATCAACAGCCAGATAAACCAAAAAAAGGAAAAAGAAACAATTAACTTTTAAAAAGTGTCCCAACTACAGCAGCCGTTGCGTTCAGCCACACTAGGGCCAGAATTTGGTTACCTTGTGGGTAGAGGAATAAAAAGAAGCCCTGGTTGGATTGTCCTTATTTGAGGTGCGTGGAGGATTGGAGGCGCTGGATGGGATACGCGTCCTGCAGTCCCGCGGCCACCACAGACTTATATACTCCCACTCACTAGGTGCCTTTAGATTTAAAAGGCCAGACTATAGTGCAAAAGACCCCACTTGGAAGGGGAGGTCGGAGACAACAGGAATCCTAAAACATTATTGTGTATTAGAAACAAACTCCTATGTACGTATTGTTCAGGAGGCGCACAGAGTTAAACATACCGTTGCAGATTGAAGCGCTCCGCGCACGAGCCGCCCCAGCTCGTGACAGCTCACACTGGGACAAGCCTTTACGCACGGCAGTAACGTCCACGCCCAAGGGCCCGGTGAAGGAAAGCAGGCACAGCAGCGGTGTGCGCGCCAAGACGCCGGTATGCTACAAAACACGATTTTAGGATAATCTAACTCATATTTTAATCACTACGCAGTACTCACCAAAAGCGCATACGACGATCGCGTGGTTCAATTGCGCGGCCTCTTGCCTTGTGCAATTGAACCGTGGTAGTTTGGTAGCGAGACGCTGATCACAACACCTGCTCTGTCCCGGGACAAGTCACTAGACGTCAGAGGCGGAAGAGGTCGGGCCGAAGTAGGACGCGCCTCTATAAAGAGCCGGACCAAACTCTGATTGGCTAACCAGCGGGAGTGCGCACCACTACTTCACTTTGGAAAGACCCAAGAGGAAATGTAGTTAGAAGTTTATTGATTGAGTATGTTTGGCGCCCTAGGCCCGGGAGAGATGCTGATGAGTGCGGCGCTTGCTCGCGCGCATAATCCCCCCCGGGGCCTAAGCACTGGTGGCGGTAGAGGCAGCAGGCGAGCACGCTTCGAAGAGAGAAGGAGGAGGTGGGGCGGCGGAGGCTTTGCTGGCTTCGGAAGGCCGGAAAAGTGGGCGTCTCCGGCTTTTAACTTGCTGTCCTGGTGGTTATTGGTGGATTAGATGTGGGCGTTTTGCTGGTGTGATGAGTTGAGGATGAGCAGGCTTGTAGATCTGGCAGCAGCGGCCGGGTCTACCACAGTGAACTTCCGCGAAGAGCTTCATTTCACTTTGGAAAGACCCAAGAGGAAATGTAGTTAGAAGTTTATTGATTGAGTATGTTTGGCGCCCTAGGCCCGGGAGAGATGCTGATGAGTGCGGCGCTTGCTCGCGCGCATAATCCCCAAAACGGGCAGAGTTATATTTGCGCGCCGGGACGTGAGCGCTCGCATCACGATCACCGGACGCTGTCTGGGACGTGAGCGCTCGCATCACGATCGATACCAGACGCTGTAGCAAGTTATTTTTGAGCGCCGGGACGTGAGCGCTCGCATCACGATCACCGGACGCTGTCTGGGACGTGAGCGCTCGCATCACGATCGATACCAGACGCTGTAGCAGAGTTATCTTTGAGCGCCGGGACGTGAGCGCTCGCATCACGATCACCGGACGCTGTCTGGGACGTGAGCGCTCGCATCACGATCGATACCAGACGCTGTAGCAAGTTATCTTTGAGCGCCGGGACGTGAGCGCTCGCATCACGATCACCGGACGCTGTCTGGGACGTGAGCGCTCGCATCACGATCGATACCAGACGCTGTAGCAAGTTATCTTTGAGCGCCGGGACGTGTGCGCTCGCATCACGATCAACCGGACGCTGTCTGGGACGTGAGCGCTCGCATCACGATCGGTACCAGACGCTGTGCAGAGTTATCTTTAAAGTGCGTGCCGCCACCAGAAATCCTATTGGTTCACTTACTTGCTTGTATTGTTTTGCTGGGAGCTTACGAGGAAGCCAGTAGCCGTTGTGCAGCCAAGATGGCGGACGTGTCTGGCCTGATGTAGGCGGAGAAGGCCGAAGAGGACCAGCGCCCCAGCTGTTGCAGAGAGGTGTGGGGGAGCCCCAGCGAGGCCGCGCGCGTGGCAGCGCCTATTCGGAAAGAATGAGCTTTGTAGAGCTGGGGAGATAATTTACAGAGGAGTAGTAGGGATCTTAGTTGTGCTCTGAACCAGGTTGCTGTCATGGGAAGAATGTCTGGAGTGAGAAAGAGAGGTCCGTTAAAATCTCCTTTTTTGTAGCGGAGGCGAGTGTAGCGCATCATGGATTTGTAGGGGCAGAGAGATGTGTCCGAGCGAGCTATTACTATGTTGCAGGCTCCTTTGATTTTTGAATGTTTGAGACGGAGGTTGAAATGGTCAGGGTAATAGGCCAGATCGGAGAAAGCAATGTCTAGGGCCGCATTGAACGTAGAGTGAGCAGTGGTGAACTCGCTTATGCGGAGAAAGCCATAAAAGGCGAGCAGGAAGGCGCAGCGAAGGAGAGCAGACGTGTACTTGGAGAAAGAGCCGGAGTTCAGTGTGGTGCAGAGCTGTTCCAGGATGGGCAGCGTGATGGGGAGCCGGTGGTCAGAAGAGTGGGGAGCACATTTGTTAATGCCTTTGAAGAGGAGTTTAATTGAGGGTTCAGAGAATAGAGAGGAGAAGGCGGGGTTGTGACAGCGGGCCTGAAACTGAATGCCAGAGAGCAGCGTGCGAATGTAAGTTGTTTTGTGATGGAGATTGTCTGAGCAGTGAACTATGAAGGCTATGACAGTAGATACGGATGGAGGTAATGAAGGGATGTTGTGAGCGTGGCAGAAGAGGGAATAGGTTCTCCATGCGGAGCTGTATGTAGATAGAGTAGAGGGGGAGAGGCCCTTTTTCATATAGGATGAAGCAGAGGAGAGGAGGTGAGAGAGGGAAGGTGAGACTAGTCCAGGGTTAGTTGGTCCATGGTGGGAACCGCGCGTGGCTCCGTGCAGGCTGAGGGGCAGAGGCGCCGGAACTCCTGAAATTTAAAACGAGACAGACAGTCAGCGATTTGATTAAGGTGACCGGGGACGTGGCGTGCAGTGATTATAAAATTATTCAAAACAGAGAACCAAGTAATGCGTCTGAGAAAAGACATAATGTTAGGCGAAGAAGAGCGGCCTTTGTTTAGTGCTTCCACCACGTCGAGATTGTCACACATTACGGAGATCCTTTTTCTCCGCCACGTATGACTCCAGAGCGCGCAGGCCACGACCACGGGGTAGATTTCGTGTAAGGCCGAGGAGATGCTCCGGGGAAAAGTAGCGGGCCATGGCCCGGCGAACCACTGGTCCTGATAGAATCCCCCAAAACCCACGGAAGGGGCAGCGTCCGTGTAGAAGCGGAGATCGTCGGAGGACCGGACGATATCGTCATAAAAGAACGAAATGCCGTTCCAGCGGTCCAGCAGGCGCGACCAGAAGTCCAGGTCGGAGCGGCACCCGTCGTCCAGGGTGAGCGTGTCGTGCAGGGAGGGAACCGAACCCGCGAGGGTGAGAAGACGTGAAATAAAAGAGCGGCCCTGGGGAATGATGCGGATGGCATAATTGAGGTGCCCGAGCAGAGAGAGCAGCTCGCGTTTCGTGATGGAGGGAGAGGATAGGGCAGATTGTGACACAGCGCGCACGCGCAGGAGCTTCTCCAGCGGGAGGGAGGCCTCCATGGCGCGTGTGTCGAGGCGGATGCCGAGGAACTCCAGGGCGGTGGCAGGGCCCACGGTCTTCTCCTCGGACAGGGGGACCCCGAAGGCCGAGAAGGCCGACTTCAGCCTACGGAGCGAGTCCCCGGAGCCGTCCGCGGGGGGGTCGACGAGGAGAAAGTCATCTAGGAGATGGAGGACAGAAGGGAGACGGAGGTCGTTCAACAAAATCCAGCACAAGGCCTCAGAAAGGTTATTAAATAAGGAAGGACTGCTCCTGCAGCCAAACGTGAGGCGCGCAGCAAAATAAAAGCCGGAACGCCACTTTACTCCGAACAGGTGCCAGTGGTCGGGGTGGATGGGCAGCAGCTTGAAGGCGTCCGTAATGTCCGCTTTAGACAGCCAGGCCCCAGGGCCGAAGGCCTTCACCAGCCGGATTGCGTGATCCACGGTGGCGTACTGTAAAGAAAAGGGCTCAAGAGGGATGAGACTGTTAATGCTCGGAACGGGCCCGGAGCGGGGGTGGGACAAATCAAATATAAGGCGCTTCTTCCCGGAATACTTGCGTGTGGCAACCCCCAGCGGGCTGGAGCGAAACGGGAAAAAGGGGGGCCTGGAAAAGGGGCCGATGATGTAGCCCTTGTGCACCTCCCGCGCGAGGAGCTGCGTGACCACGAGAGGCTCGCGGAGAGCGGATTGTAGGTTACGGGACACGTAGGACGCCGAGGGGAGAGCCGCCACTCCGACATGGAAGCCCCGGGCCAGGCCTGTGAGGAGAAAGTCAACGAAGGCCCTGTCAGGATGGGGCGCGAGCGCGCGGGCCAGCGCGGGCACGGAGACCGGGGTTGAGAGGTGGGTGGAGATCAAGGCCTGTACGAAGGCCCCCCGGAACTGCGGCCCGGGCGGGGGCGACGGGGGCACACGAAACGTGGATGGGCTTCCCTGCACACACTGCAAACGTGGAGATAATTGCACAATGGAAAAGTACACGTGCCCGCGTTGAACACGCGGCACACACTGGTCTGATCATGTACCTCCGTTTTGGGGAATGAAGGCGCGCGGGGCCTAGGAGACTGACCAGCGGCGACGTCGAACGGGACGGAAGGGCAGAGGGGAGAGCTGTGGCCGGTCGCGCCGCACCGGGAGCAGGAGACCGCGGGGGCACTTCCAACGGACAGCAGCAAAACCTCCGTATCCAGGACCGCCCAGTCCACTCTGACGTTAGCCTGGGATACGAGGGCCGCGGCCTTGGCGGCGAAGGCCCGATGGTAGCGATAGAAATGAGAACCGCCGTAGCGGAGGGCCAGGTCCCCCATTAGGCCTAGATAGGCATCCAGCTCGGGCCTGCGCTCGGGGTACACGGAGCACAGGACGTCCCGGTACACGCCGAAGGCCACGAGAAACTCCCCGATGGATAGATCCCGCGAGAGGCGGGGATCAGCAGTCTTCACGACCGCAGTGACCAGGGAGGAGGCCGCCACCTGCCTGTCACACTCGGGGGAGGGGAGGATGAGGGAGACGAGATTAATGTAGCGTCCCAGCAGTATTTTCGACCGCAGCCGCGGGGAAACATTTGAGTATGCGTTGATGAAGGGCCTACCGGACGCCGTAGCCGCCACGGCCGTGGAGAGGGTGAAATCGACGACCAGGGAGTCGCCGGGAGGCGCAGCGGCGGGAACGGCCACCGGAGCCACGGTGGGGATGGGAGGTCGGGTTTCCACGACGCGGAGCCGGCCGGACACTGCGGCCATCGAGCTCTGGATAGATGCCACCGCCGATAGGATGGCGTCCGTGCGCGCGCACATCAATTCCCGGTCCTGAGCCGCAGCTGCCACATGGGCCGCGAAGGCTGCAGCGAGAGGATCCGGCAGGGGAGGGGGCACGCCGGGAACCGTGGGGGCGGCCCGGGAGACGTCGATGGGACGAGGTGCTGGGGGAAGCAGGGGCCCGTCGAGAGCAGGGGAAGGGGGGCAGGCACGCGTCGGCGGCAGGTGGTTGGCCTTACGACGGCGCTTGCGAGGAGGGGAGTCCGGAGCTGGGGGGGGGGAGGCGGAATCCGCTGACAGCTGCTCCACGAGGCACTGGAGCTGCAGCGGGGTAGCATCCGGGCCTGGCACGACGCCACGGGCCGTGAGGAAGGTGCGGACGGATCCAGCGTCCTGGGACGCCAGGCGCGCGCTCTTCCGGGACCGGTCGGGCACAGGCGAGGGGGGAACGAACAGGTCGTTCAGAGAGCCAGGCGAAGAGCCCGAAGCAGACGGGGACGCACGAGCACGGGGTGAAGGACGCATGGTAGACAGGTATAGTACGCTGACAACACTTGCAACTTCAGAAGCTTTGCTGGCTTCGGAAGGCCGGAAAAGTGGGCGTCTCCGGCTTTTAACTTGCTGTCCTGGTGGTTATTGGTGGATTAGATGTGGGCGTTTTGCTGGTGTGATGAGTTGAGGATGAGCAGGCTTGTAGATCTGGCAGCAGCGGCCGGGTCTACCACAGTGAACTTCCGCGAAGAGCTTCATATGTGCAAGCATTGGTCTACGGGGGTATGGTTCACCAATGGTATGGGAGGGGGAGCACAAACACTAGATCCAAACGATCAACTCATGCTCTTGCATCTAGGCTGAAAGGTTTGACTCTTTGGATTTGACTGCCCCTGGATCAGAGGCAGTCTTTAGAAGACTGCCCCTGGATCAGTCCTCTACTAACTTAGGAAGGTTCATCTTGTCTTAGTAGATTACATTTTTCTATACCATTGAATAACATTATCTTACAAAGGCCCTATTACTAAAATGTTTGGACATCCTTGCCCCAAATAGAACTTTGAATGTGTGAATAAAAAGAGAAAACGCTTAAAAGTCTATTCCAACACTCGACCACCTGGATACTGCTAGCAATCATCTTTCATAACCCTTTCAACACAAACCCCATGATTCAATAAAGAGAGAAGGGCCAAGTTCTGGACTTTACAAGCTCTGAACATCATGTAGAAATGTGTCTTTTCGAGCTCCAGCCAAAGTGAATGTTTGTATCCTTGAACAAGAGCCAACTACTGCCGCGCTCAAATGTAAAACACATTAAACCAAATGGAACACCGGTGACAGATGCCATCGTAATGTCAAAAATGGATATAATTTCCGGGGGGTGCAAACGTTTAAATGCGTTGTAAAAGTGTCAAAAATACAGCGGTAGATCTTAAGCTGCCTCTAATCAAATCGCAAATGATAGAACAAGGTATTGCCACTTAATTGCGAGCACTTTATTATATGAGAATGAATGTTGGCGAAAGTGCAGCCACCCAGATGACAGAGCTGTTTTTTTCTTCGAAGGATGCTTTAATGGGGCTGTTTTGAGAGACAAGCTTTACGGGCATCCAACAACAAACATGCATTGCTTTTGGCGGTTGCTAAAACAAACTTCATATCCAAGAAAATAAAGAAACTTTTTTTTTTTCTAAATACTTGACCTGGTTTTGCTCAAGCTCTAAGACACTCCTTGTCAGAAGAGACAAAAAACATTTGGTTTGAATATTTCGCTGTAATATAAGATTTCATGAAAGGTCGCAAACCTGTTTTCAGAACCACTTAAGGCCAAAATATGGATAACTGGAATTTTCCTAAGAACAATTCAAGTAAAAGGGATTATGTTGAAATTTGTTGAATTGTAAAGAGTGCATTTTTGTTTTTTGTTTTCATTGGACCAATTGCTACTGAACTTAAACAGCTAAAACCTAGGATACTTAACTATTCAAACGCAACAAATCTAACAATGTTATAAAATCTACAACTCTCAGGTGCTGTTTACCCGAGGACGCCTTGACAGTAAAACTTTAGAGTTGGGTATCGGACTGACTTTTTCGGGGGTGGGGACGCAAGTGTTGAGAAACAGGTCCCATTTGTACGGAGACAATGCGGCAGTAAAACGCTATAGTTGGATGTCGGTTGCTACGCCCCGTTCATACGGAGACTGTGTTCCAGGGAGGTGAAAACGTAAGATTTAAGATTCAGTCTGCAGAGTGAGACAGCTCAGAAATGCTGCTCAGCGGGGGCTCTTTCAAAAGGTGCTGATCTGACCAGCCACCTCAGCACTGCTCCCCGCACGTAAGTTTGGACCTGCGCAGGAGCCGAGAACAAACGTAAACAACAATGGCGGTGGGTACACTTACTAGCTACGTGTGCTTCGAGTGCTACAGGGAGGAGGATTCTACTCCTTCGTTCGTCCAAACGAGACCACGCGTAGTTCTAGTTTCAGTTTTCTATTTTCGCAGCTGCTGTTAAAATGCAGAATGTTGGTGCATTTTTTCACGTCTTCCAGAGGAAATGAGTATACTTCTGGGGCTCGCATATGTCGTGTTGTAAAGTTCTACAGGCCCCTACTGGCCCGGCACTAGAACTACATCGTGTTCCATTGTTGTGTAGACGTCTGAATGTTTGTGGATATACAAATCAAACGGAAAATTTAATGGAGTGAAACAGTTAATACACTGGAAATGAAATAATAAACATATTGGAGACATCGGCCTATAGGGAGAAGGATGACCAATTTCCATCGATGTTAAACTAATTTTCATGAATTTCCCGGGTCAACACTGTCCTTAGACCCTCTGGTATCCGCAAGCAATATCTCAAAAAGTTTCAAGTGGTAGAGTCTCATTGAGCTTTATGAATAGACTCTAAATACCAAATGACAAGTGTGCACCTAAGAAGTTGGGACACATATGGTTTCTTTAAGGATTGCACTTTGTTACAAATCCCCTCAATCACTCCTCAAAATGCTGTTTATCCACCCACAACAAGGCTAACACCACTTATCCTAAACCTCTATACATTGTTATTGAATGGCAAACAAAAGCAAGCTTAAACATTTAGCTTTGGCTCTGGTGGGTCACAGTTTCCCATTGATTGGAGCATCCATCGCATTTCCAGGCGTACACAGAGAGTCAAGGCCTGGCGTGCGTTCCCATGTACAGCTGTGGGGGGTGGCTGTGTGGGGGGGCTGTGGGGTGGGGGCTTGTGGTTTGTCATTTAGCATTATGTCCAAAGCGGCTCTGGGTAAGCTGTGCTGCCATGAGTGCTGTGACATGAGCAATGATGAGAGCTCTCGTTAGACGTATAGAAATAACAGCTGTTCTATGTCATGCAACATTCCCACACGAGATCTGTGGCCATTCTGCGTGAGTCGTTTTCACTCCATATGATTTAGCCTATTGGTTTGAGGTGATTCATGGTACTGTATGTGTAATTCATGAAAAGGAATTGACTTCTTCAAGCTTTGAACCATATTATAACAATATGGGTCCTTCGTCAAAAACAGATCTGGAGTTCTTTTTATCCTTTTGAACTAATATCAGGATGTGTCAAGAGCAGTGGTCACCTTATTACAGTGCCATAGCCCCATCTCCAGATAATGATGCTCGGCTTGGTCAGGACTAGAGCTGTAGAATTTTGCCTTTTGTTCAATCTACAGGGTTTTGTATTTGTGCAGTCTAACAGATCAGACAGATCTGTCTGACTGACCACTATGATCTCTATAGAAGTGAGTCCTATGTCTCCAGAGACCACAGCACAACGGAGGTCAGTATGACAGATTTGCCCATTCTCAGTCAGACTGACTGCATCCAGTTAGCTGATAACAGACAGGTCACACCATCATGTGTCACCTCTGATGATGGTGGAAGGCTACCATCCAAACATGATAATTAAGCAGGACAGGCAGGGCGACAGTAGCTCAGTTGGTAGAGCGTTGGCCTTTGGGCCTGAAGGTTGTGGGTTCGAGCCCACCTCAAGACCTACTTCACAACTCCCACTGATGACTGCTGTCGTTGTGTCCTTGGGCAAGACACTTAACCCCACTTTGCCCAAAGCCCCAGCTGAAAGATCTCAGCTCCTGTGGACTCACCACCTGCAGGAGGGTCAGTGAGGGGCTGGTGCTATGTGTACTGGGTGCAGCTCTGACTGCCACCCCCCTGACCCAGAAATGGATTAAGGGGAAGAAAATGGATGGATGGATGGAAGCTTGTTTACACTCTTTGCCTTATTAACCAAGAGGGCAGATATAAGTTGTTCTTAGTTTCCTGGGAATTCAAATAGGTGAGGGAGCAGAGTCTGAGCAGAGTTGCGGCTGCAATCTCAAACAGGCTCTATGATTATTAGAGCTATCTCAAACAGGCTCGATGATGATTGGAGCTAGCATAAACAGGCACCATGAGGATTAGAGCTAACTCTAACAGCAATATTCCCCTAACCTCGCTCACAGGCTTCTCATTTCCCCTATGCTCTCATCCCACGAAGCCATCTAGTTTTATCTGCGATCTGATACGTACGCAAACAATAGGATTAGCGCAACTTATTGTAAGCTGTACAACAATCACTGATGAAATGGTAGAAAAGCAACGCACTGCTAACAAAATATACAGCGGAAAAATTACAGCTAGTTTTACGTCCGAATGTAGTCCGAGCATAGATAGTCTGAGGCGGTCCACACCCGCAGGTCTCTCCCATAGACTGTAAGTCTCTCCAGGGGATACGATGTAAGCCATGTTCTCCCGGACTTGATTTATTTTTTGATCATTTTTTCGCTTTAGTTCTTCCCTCTTCTCTTCCTCACTGTTGTGTCGTTTGGGCTTTTTTGCTGTGTATGCAGTTACAGCAAGAAGAGTTATAGTCAATTCTACTAACAGGGAAATTTACCAACGCTGTAGAAGACGCAGCCTGTTCGTTCCTCGTTCTGTGAGTGGAGGAGGCTCGCTAAGTTCCTACTCAGCACTTTTTACGGCCTGAATTCATACACAAGCTGAATCAATGAGCTCAAGTTTTCAATTAAATTACGGATTATAATACAACTGTTATGTAGTAATAAGCATTTTTATGAAAAAAAAAAATCGGGTATAGCTTCTTTAATTGCTCACATTCAAGGGCCTACAGTATGGGGTAAGGTTACTGTCAATAAAGACGTGCATGTCTAAAAACAATGCGTGCTTATTTATCGGTATTTGTGCAAAAAAAATTCTATTAATTCATGATTAAGATAATACAAACTCAAAAGACATGGAATTTCATAAACAAAAAACTAAAAAACTGTATGTCTGAGTTTTTTATGTGCTTGCATTTTCTTCTTTGAGAGATTCCAATGTGGTTTTCATACTGCACATGGCAAATAAAATTAATCTGAATCTGACTATGAATTTCAGTAGTCAGCAAACTGTCAATATTACGTCACTGCTCACAGACATTAACAATCGAGCCTGCGCAGAGTTGATCAACTTCATTGCCACAAAACTAAACATGGCAAAGGCCAA